AGAAGATCAGAAAATTTTGGTTAATAATATACCTTAAAGAATGGCTGTAATGTTGTTGCAAGTGATGATAGGAAAGAGACAGGCAATTGGAGTGAGACAGGCAAAAGGAGTGCTAAGAAATTTGAGAAGTGTGGTAGTCCAGTTTCCCCTAGAAATCAGAAACTGAGGAGAAAGCTTTGTGCGAATACTTCATTGGGTACAAGAATCTCAGGAAAGCAGGAAGAAGGGATAAAAAGGAGTGAGGCCGAAGTGGAGGGAATGTGAAAATGAATGGGGCACTTCCCAGGCTGGCCTCAGCTACATAACAAGGACAGCTGGTTACTGTCACGTGGGAGGTGGTACTTCCTTGAGGATGGATGGATTTCTTTGCCTCAGAACAGTCTGTGTGACCTGGAAGGGGAAGAGCAGGATGGGATGTACCCCCTGCTTTTCTCCTCTGTTGGCCAGATCACTCCTTTCAACACTAACTCCCTTATCTGAGTGGTGACAACTAGCCCTCCCAGACAGCTGCTGGGACACTAAGGGCCATCCATTCCTTTTGGTCAGAGAGCATGTGCATCTATTTCTGTCCATCAGGATCATAGGCAGAGTTCCTTTGTCTATACTGAAAGCAGTAGTAGCCCTCACAGGGACCTGGATCAGTGATGTTGGGGATAGTGCAGATCTTTGCTGGGGCCATTGCAGCCAGAAAGCAGGTGGGTAGACTTATGGTAGCATATAAACCATGCTCTATACAGGGGAGAATTAAATTCTTGTCTGGAACACAGTGTATGTAGAGACCTCATGGGAGAGAAGACAAGGGAAGTTGCAATGTCTGATTGCAGTCATTGTTGTTGAGTGGGAATCAGGATGTTAATTCATAATCAAATGGTGGTTCCATTCCCAATTTTTCAAGGAATCTCCATACTGCTTGGCTGTAGCAATTTGCAGTCCCATCAGCAGTGTAATGCCAAGAATTATTGTAGGCTCATTTTGTAAATAGGAAATATCTGAAGGTTTTCCAGAAGAAGATAACATAACCAAAGGTGTGTTGTTTTGGGGGGATGGATGAGGAAGGAAGAGAATCTCATACAGAAGGAGCTCCTAAAGTAGATTTAGAAGATATATAAATTGGAAGCAGGACTGTGAGTTAGAGAGAGTCGTGGTAAAAAGAACCAAACTGCTCATTGCTATACATTCAAGATGGTTCTGTGGACTTCTTAAAGAGACTGCTCCCAGCCTTCCATATGGATCACCTTCTTTCTTGGTGATTAAATAGGTTGAATAGACATATATGTCTTGTTCTGGGAGATAAAAATGACCTCATCACTGTCTGTTTCTAAGCATCATGTGGATTTTTACAAACTTATACATTGATGGGTTTCCATTTTTTAGACCACGGTAATTAGCATTCATTACTTAGACTTTACCTAAATATACCTGTAAATAAGCCCCATTTTGTGATCTAGAACCTAGGGAGGCAAAGCCTCAAACATCCACAGGAGGGGCTACTGACCTACATGGGTGGGTGGGACAGAAGGAGGTGGGACAGCCATTGAGCACAAATGGCCTTTACCCATTCTAGCTCCTGCCATGGCCTCTGTCTGAAGGCCTCAAAGAAACCACCAACAAGTAAATAGGGCATACCAAAAGTCAAACTCCATCCTGGGCACGGGGGTGGGGTGGGGGGAGGGTGGGTGGGTGGGGTGGGGGGGAGGAAGGCATAGTTGATATTAAGCTACTTGATCTCAGGAGGAGATAGGGTGTAGAGATTTTTCAAGGTCACAGCCATTGCATTTGGCCATTCCTGAAGACATTCCTGAACACCATTGATTTTTGCGGCCAAGTTCATTCTCTGTTGAGACCAAGAATATGTGATCCTTTATAAAAGAAGACAGTGAAGAATAGTAGTTAAAACCACAGCCTCTGAAGCTAAAATACCTGGATTCAAACCCTGGTTCTACCCTTACTAGTCAGCTTATCTCCGGGTTTTATTTTTATTATTTATTTTTAAATGAGAACTATAATAGTTGTCTCCTAATAGGATTACTGAGGGGATTGAATGAAATAATATATGTAAATGCTTAGCATAATTATTGTCAGAGCTTATCAATATTATTACAGGAAAATAATCTCTTATTTGTAATTCTGAAATCCCCAAATCACTGAAAACCCAAAGTTGTTTTGTAACACATTTGATGGCAAAACATCATGTGAGGCTATTTTGAGTCCCATAGTATGAATGCTGTTTTCATCTTTTCTCCAAGTCATATGCATTTCATGTTTCTCTATAGAAACTTGATATGCTTCATTATAGGGTGATATTCTGGGCCCTGATGAGTCTATGTACCGCATTTCTAGTCTAAAAGACCCAAATTTCCAAATTCTGAAACACAATTGCTCAAGAATTTCAGATAAGAGAGATGCGCTTGTGTTAGTGAGAGGTAAGAAATGACGGTGCGTGGACTAACACTAATTCCTTCTATCCACCCTACCATAAAAATGATGAAAAACATTTAGGAAGCTTTAAATTGCTTTCAAAATACAACTCATTAAGTAGATGAACTTGTGAAAACTGTGTTTTTATACATTTTTACCTAAAAGGAAAATTTCAATAATCTCTCCACCTTTTCATGTCAATCTTAGCCCACTGATACAGCAACCAGTAGGAAATTTTTGCATATATTCTTTCTCATCATGAAATATTTTAAAGAAGGTATCACCAGGATTAATTGCTTTTGGAAACTGGTTTGGACTCAAACACGAATACTAGTACTTTAATGATAAACTCTTTTTAAAAATGTCTTGAATTTAAGAAAAACCTCCTTAGGAGTTTTTTCATAAAAGTTTTTTTGATTTCTGTCCTCATGGGGTATATTTTGTAGATTTTTATTGACATTTCTTCAGGCTACATATACAGAGCCAGAGGCTTCTTTTGAAATAGACCCTTAAAACATATGCCATTTTAGTGACGTAACTTTGGATTCCTCTCAAGAAAGAGACAAAGGAGCCATTCAGAATGCTACTGAGCAAAATCAGTCACTGAAAACTTGGTGGTCTGCCTCTGGGTTCCTGAACACTCCGCCTTATCCACCTGAGTGTTCAATGAAAGCCTCCTGCTTTTGCTTTTTGTCCAAATAAGCTGTAGTTATCACTTGGTGCCAAATATGTGCTTTCCCCAGCCCTGTCAAATTCAGCATTAGGATGGATTTTCACTCCAGAATGCTTTCCTACGTTCCAGCCTCCTCATTACCTCTGCCCCAAGGCTTCTAGTTTTAGGAATACCTAATTGCTACTTAGGGGTTTTACCACTCATTTTTATAAAACTTCAGGCTTTAAAAATCAGAATTAATGTTGTTTTGAAAAGACATGGAACACCCTGATTATTTTCTAAAAATTTACCTTTGGCCAAATTCTCCCATGATCTTTCTCATTGATCCTACATGAGTGGTATCTCAAAGACGTCTAACATTAATGCTTCCAGAACAAGAGATGCCTTCTGGCTAGGAAAAAATAAAGAGAGAGATAATAGCAGGACTACATAATTAGAAATGTAATTATCTCCTATGATGATAGTCTTGATGGTGCTATTGAGGGGTTCACCAAAAGAAAGAACTTGGTAAATCTTTAAAATGTGGAAATTATTGATGGTATATCTAAAGTTTTAGGTGACCTAATAGAGTATTTTAACCTATTTCATGTCTGAGGTTTGAATGCTAAGAAACAAAGAACCAGGAAGATTGAGATTTCAGTACTGGGTTCATTACTGAAGAATTATTGGAAATGTAAGTCAGGCATGAGGCAAAAAAAGGGCTTTGTAATACTCAACTCCATTAGCATATAGATTTATTCACTCAATGTCAGGTAGCTCTGGTCAACCTCAGTCCTTCTGCACAAAAATACAAAGTAACTACTGGGCCACTCATGACCAAGAATACAGGAAGATGCATTTTCCTGAAATCATCCAAAGAAGAGAAGGTAAAGCAAAGGTATCCAATCATGCATGCCCATTTTTCTCCTAAGTTTACTCATCAGGTAATTTAATTTTTCTCCTATGAGGAAAAGTTAGTGAGGGTATAGAGGATGCCAAGAACGTGAAGGGTGAAGAAGGTCCTGTCCAGTTGTCTTAATAAAATAGTCTTAATAAAAATCATCTTAATAAAATCTAACAAAGGCTATAGTCAACATTTGCATCAGCATTCCACACCCAACCAAGGATTCAGGTAGCATGAACAAACTTAAACAACCAGGTATTTATCTTCTAGGACAAAAATTTGAGGGCTCTTCTCTGAACATATTGCACTGATTGTCAGAGGATACTAAGCGTAGGTGGCAGAGGGTAAACCTCTTCTAGAGAATTAGTGATGCAGATCACTGGGACCTACTTTAGTATATTTAGTCCTCATAATTCAGTCGTGGAATTCTAGTTTACAGTCATATGCCACTTACTTTATCAGGGTCTAATGACAGAATCAGAGAAGCTCACCAAAATAAGTTTCAAGGGCTCAGAGAGGAAGCTTTCAACAGAGTCCAGTACAAAAACACAGGCACACACTTCGAGGTGTAGAATACATGGTTGTCTAAAGGACCAGCACAAAGCTCATTCCCTCAATGTTACCATAGCTGAAATTGAAGATGGTAGTGTGGTCGCTGCTCTTTCTCAGGAAACATTTTTTTTTTCTGCTTTGGCATTCAAACCGCATCAAAAGAAAGCCCAAAGCAGAGCATCAAGCCCAGTGGATTACGATGAGCCCCTGCTTCCTGGGTAATATCAGCATTTTCATCTGGCTCAACCATCTCTGGCAAAATCTACATCATGCATATGAGGCTGTCTCCATAGACAATGAGTCACCCTGTAGGAACATGGAGAGCTATTCTCTAAGGACTTTCTGTGTGCCACTCATTTCTGATGCAAGTCTTTCGTGGTACGACAGAAGGTAAAAGAGGGAGAACACCCTGTAAAAAGAGCATGAACAAACTTAAAGTATTAAAATTTAACATCTTTTAGTAAACTTTACCTGAAAATCACAAGCAGCATGTCTGAGAGCAAGAGAGGTCCTAGAGAAACAGAAGATTAGGAAAAAAATTAGTGCTCTCTGAGACTGTTTTGTTGCTTGTTCAGACGGAGAGGACACATAAAATAGTACATAATTACCCAGTGTCTGTAATCATAAGTGTGTTGTTTTACATCTTAATTTCATTGTTTCCCTTTTGTTTGATCTGGAAAACACATTCCCTATACAGCAACTCCTTCTTTGATTGCATATACAAAAGTCCCTTTCTCTTAATGAGGTGGGAGTTTTTATGATGTCATTGTACCTTAAGGTTAGCATAGATGCTTAGTAGGCAACTTTCCAAATCTTGACTTCTAGAAATGCCATTATCTTCTTCAACTTCTCATAAACATTTCCTGAAAAAAAGGGAAGAAAATGGATATAAAGTATTTAGTCCATTGTCTAAGATATAGTATATTCTCAATAAATAGGAGCCATGGGGCCCTGTTTTTAACCAAGACTCATTCCAGGTGCTGAGAGGATTCCAATGAGGCCAAGAAGGATGTTGGCAGCCCCGTCTCATCTGCCTCCATACAGAGGTCCTTGGAACTAAGTCTCATGTCTCAGACTAAAAATCCAGTGTCGGAGCCGCATTTGATGGGGATGTTACATGCCTTCTGAGCTCCCTTAATACCAACTTTACTCAGGACCCTGTGTACCAGGAATAAGCTCTGGAGTATCTGTTAAAATCTTTTTTCTCTCTTTCACTTATATATGGGCCCTAGACAAGAAAAAGAGCTTCTTTATTTTTGTTTCCTTCTCCATAGTTTCTGCTTAGTTTCTCTGGTTAGTCCGTTGACTTGGCTTAGGACATTGCTTTGAATTCTAGCCAGCCTCCCACCTGGCTTTTGCAAGACTTCTGTCTTCTGAATTATTTCCTTCTCTTTCTATCTAAATGTGAGAAGTGCACGTGGATAAATCTAGAGTCAATTGCTATTAGCCTTTCCCAGATACCATTCACCACTGGGATCTTTATCCCTGAGTGGATTGGCCAGATAGGCACTGACAATTGCCTGGCTCATCTTGGATCTTGGTGTTTCTGTTTCTGAGATGTCCCCATTCACATCACCCTACATCCTGGTGGCACTCAGGCTATTGTGGTCTCAATACTTCGGCTCTCACACTGATGTTTCTAGGAATGTGACAAACTTGTATGTGGTTTCTCCCATCCCTATAAACAGTGGGTTAGTGGCCAACTTGTACCTCAGCTCACCCTGTCACAATGCTGAATTTTCTAGACTGAGCTGCAAACTGACCAATTCCCAAGAACAAGTAATGGGTCTAGTCTAGAAGGAAGGTCAGAAGGCTCTTCACTCAAAGATGTTTAGGCGTTGAATCCTGGCCTTTTGAACACTACAGAAAGTTGAGGACCTGATTTTTCTTTTGCCTTTGGCTCTCCAGAGTCTCAATCTCCTCAATATTTTATTCATTAGATTTATTTTCCTTATTTTTTTTCTGAGCTCAAAACTTTTGTGTGAGATGAAATAAGAAAACTGCAAACCCCTTTGGGCTACAAGTCAGGAATTGTTTCAATTACTTCTTTTCTTGATGAGGCCTGGGATATAGTTTCTGATGAAGCCACATCAGCACTTTTTCTGTTTTCCTTACAGAACAAATTGCCAGCAGGATTCCTGTTTATGAGGGTAGGAATTGCTTGTACAAATTTCCCATAAGGATTCTGATGGGATGCTTCTCTCTGCTAAGGCAAAGGACTTGTCATATTGCTGATTTTGGGCATGAAGCCAGAATAAGTCTGAGCTCCCCTTAAGCCCACCAACGTACCCTTCCCCATATTTGTACACCTTATTTGTTTGAAAAATGTGGTTCATTTCTGTAGTTATCTCAGAGGGGAGAAGTCTAAATCTGTGTAATTGTGGTGCTCATGCATATTGAGGATTTCTTTCAAGTTTGGATGTTAGTAGGGGGCCCCAGGCAAAGGCTGAATGGTGAGCTGAAGTATTGAGACCACAAGCAGGGTGGGGTGAATGAGGCCACATAATGCCCTGTCAGAGCCCAGTTCCATACTGATTAGCACAGCTGTGAGAAGCTGGAAAGAGCAGCAACAGCAATGGCAGCAGCACCCATCCTTACCAGGCTATTCACCTAGAGTGAAGTAGGAATGAGGAGGATTCCAAGGTGGCCGCCCCAGTTAAAATGGTGACACTCAGACTAAAGGAGTCTTCACAAATGGCACACAGTGTGCCTGAACTATCATAACAATAATGACAAGAACCTTTTCATTAAGCGTCTACTATGTTAAATGTTCTATATACATTGCATCAGCAGTAATTTTTAAGTGTCTTCTATGCCACACACTCTTCTAGGCACTAGGGTTTCAGTAGTGAACAGATACAACAGGTAAAGCCATTGCCTTTTGGATCACATAATAGTCATTAAATACCCCAACATTCTCCAACCTCTGGGTTCTTTCTGAAAAGTCATGGCACCTCCTCTTGGCAAGAAATGTGTGTGTGTGTGTGTGTGTGTGTGTGTGTCTGTGTGTGTGTGTGTGTGTGTTTAGCTACACACAAAAACAATGTTAATAATGGTTCCATTTTCAATTGTGAAGAGCATACATCTATTCTCCACTGTTTTAAAGCATTACTTGCTCTTGGAGGACAATACAATAAGGTTTTATCTGAAGTTGGTGACTTAGATGAGCCTTTGATAGATCTTCCCTATTTGTTTTCTGGCTGCTTCTAAGTGATGTGCCATATGAGATACCATGTCCTGTGATCCACTGCTGTACACTTGATGCTATAAAATGAATCCCTTTAGTGGACAATATTGAATCCCACGCCCATATATGAGGCATTTTTTAGCCCTTGGACGTCATACAGGGGAAACACAGTAATGTCAAAAGCTATGTCAGTCTCAATCAGAGGAACCCAGACTTTGGATCCATGCATAGCCTTCATCTCTGCCATAGTGTTAGTCAGCCGTCCATCATATTGTGACAAAATATCTAAAAAAAAAAAAAAATCATAAGTTGAAAAGATTTATTTTGGTTCATGTTTTCAGAAATCTCAGCCCATGGTTGGCTGGCTTCATTGCTTTGTCTTTGAGAAGAGGCAGAATATCATGATGGAAGGATATTGCAGAGCAAGCTGCTCACCTTGTGGTAGCTGAGAAACAGAGAGAGAGAACATGGAAGGGGCCAGGACAAGATCTACTTTAGCAGGGTACAACTTTAGTGACCTACTTCCTTCAGTAGGCTCCATCACCTACAGTTTCCACCTCCCAATAATGCCATCAAATTTGAATCCCTTGAGGGATTAATCCATTGGTGAGGCCAGAGCCCTCCTGATCCAATCACTTCCTCAAATACATACCTCTGAAAATAGTTATATTGGGGAAGAAACCTTCAACACAGAAACCTTTGGGCAACATTTTAGATCCTATTAATGACAGCCATTGCACCTGCTCTGCTCTTGGGGCTTTTGCCCAATCACAAGGTGGCCAGGGGTGGAGACTGGCTGACAACTGGTGGATGTCTCATCTTTTCTTAAACTCTTCCTCTGCAATGGGAGGTCTTTAGTGGACCTGTTAACATGAAACTAAAATATCAAACTGGTTTTTGAACAACACTTTCTTTTGTACTTCTACATGCTTCTTACCTGAGTCCCCCTTTGACTCTGATCTAATTTTGCTCCTTCCCAACCCCTGACCAACTGACAAGCCTTTCAGCAATGTTCAATCTGCGTGTATCATGATCTCAGGGCACTTTGTTGCTACAAAAGCAATGATCAAATCCACTGCTCATTTGTCTCCCTGTTTGGACCACTTACCCTCACTGTCACACTGATGGTGAATGTGGATTGTCCACTTGATTGGATTGAGAGACACCTAGGGATTGTCTAAGATTAAGAGACTTCCGAGTGTGTCTGTGAGGGTGTTCCTAGAGATGATGGGTGTGAGGAACAACAAACCGAGAGGGGGACCCAACCTGAATGAGAGGAGCACTGTCCAACCAACTGGGGGTGCAGATGGAATAAAAGCAGGAGAAGGAGAAAGCCAAAACAGAAGCAAGCTCAATTCGTGAGTGGGAACTACTGCCATCACCAGTGGACATCAGATTCCAGCTTCTTCAGTCTTCCAATGTGACTCTTGCCAGTGATCCTGCAGGGAGATTCCAGGCCCTCAGACTCTTATTGAGGATGCATCCTTGTTCTCTCTTATTTTGGGACTCCGACTTCTTAGACTGAGCAGTTACTGGTCCCTCTAACTTTCTAGCATGCAGATGGCCATTGTGGGACTATCCAGCTTCTGACTGTGTAAGACAAACTAATAAATACTGTTTTGTAGTTATACACATATGTATTCTGTTGTTTCTGATCCTCTAGAGAATGCTGATTAGTGGTCTTTAGCACCATACCTAAATGGGACTGTATTTAAGTAGCAGTTCGTTTTTAGCATAAACCCACTTTGTGGAGAAAAGAAAAACACATCATGAAACAGTTCTCATTTTTTTTTAATGCCTCCATCATTTAGTCCTAGGAAGCTTTGAGTTACTGGAAGAGTGTCACTGAGATGTTGAGGTGTGTTTTTATGTAATTTGTTCTTACCTCTAGATTTGGTGGGATCTGATTCGGAATATATATTTCTATTGTTTGGTCTCTGTTCAGTTGCTACTGTGCTCACTTGATATTGTGAATAGGAGAATCTGATAGTGTCCAGCTCATGCTTGACAGCCTCTCTTACCTAATAACCTGTGTTTAGGTGCTCAGCTTTTACCGGGACCAGCAGTGCTGTAGGTGGTGCCTCTTATTTGGTAAGTCATTTTCTGCTGTGGAAGGCATCTGTGTTGTGTCACTTATATTGGTTTGCCAGAGACTCCAGGCGGCACCTCTATCTGTCACAGAGCACCATCGGCTCTTCCGGGTCATGTAGGTCAAGTTGCGGAGCAGCGAGGACCATGACCTCAATCTGTTGCAAAGCCTTCTCTTGTTCAATGTTTCAAGACAGATCCATTGGAGAACTACTCCCAAATATAGTCAGTATGCTGCCTCCAAAGTCCACAGAACTCCAAGGGCTATGGCTCATTCTTAGTACTAAAACGTATAAGGTGCAAAAACTGTTCATCCTTAGAGGAGATATCCTAACATACCTTCGACCATTGGTCCCCTTAAAAACATCACTAATATGGTAGGGAGCTAATTCCTCACGTAGTTTACCTCTAACCCTCTTACATTTATCCTGCCAGAAACATGGACTATTTATTTCCTGTTCACCAGATCTTATAAACACGATATCATCAATGTTGCCGACTCACATCTTGTCCTGGGGAATGTTAATGTAATCTAGGATTCTGTTGACTGTGTTGTGGGTTGGGGATTATGTTAATTCTTGTTGAATA